TCCTGCACATCCCAAAACCTCCTGCACATCCCAAAACCTCCTGCATCATCCCACAGCATCCTGCACATCCCAAAACCTCTTGCATCATCCAACAGCATCCTGCATCATCCCACAGCATTCCTGCATCATCCCACGGCCTCCTGCATCATCCCACGGCCTCCTGCATCATCCCACGGCCTCCTGCATCATCCCACAGCATTCCTGCATCCCGTGGCATCCCGCATCACAGAGCACCGTGGGCTCCACAGCATCCCACATCCCACAGCACTGTGGGTCCCACAGATTCCCACAGCATCCTGTGGGGCTGAGGACCCTGCATCCTCCTGCATCCCACAGAACTCTGGATCCTCCTGCATCCCACAGCACCGTGGTCTTTGCAGCATCCCAGGGACCACTCCCCATCCCAGGGCACGGTGTCCCCTGTGTCCCCGCAGTCCTGGCAGGAGCAGGCACAGGGACACACCGGGGACACCGGGGGCTGTTGACTCCGTGCCAACGATCAAACCTCCAGAGCTGGCGCTGGGAAGGAGCAGAGCTGTTCTGGGGGAGGGGTCCCCATCAGTGTGGGGGGTCCCCAGTCCTGCAATGACCCCCAGGACACCGCGTGGGGAGGGGGTGACACCCCCGGCTGGACAGCGAGAGCCTGGCACTGTGCCCATGGTGTGGGACTGGGGGGGGCTGGGGGGGTCCCTATCCCCTGGGAGGGGGGTGACAGCGGGGGATGGGCACACCAGGGCACGCTGGGGTCCCCAACGGGGGAGGGGGGGACACTGAGCCAGGCCCCCAGGGATTAACCCCCCCTCGCTGCTGCCCCGTGAAATAGGTCACCCACAGATCCAGGGCTGGCAGCGTGCGGGAACTCCGGCGGGGGGGGGGGTCCTGGTGGTGGAAAAGGGGGGACAGGACGCGAGGGGGACAGCAGGACACGGACCCCTCCCATCCCGAAGCACTCACGTAGTCATGGAAGGCTTTGGCCTCGCTGGAATGCTCGCAGGTCTCCCGGCGGTCCGGAGCGGCACAGTACAGATCCCAAAAAACGCTGGGGAAAACGGGAAGGGAGTGAGGACCCCCCCTCCCTCAATTTACACCCCTGTCCCCCCCTCCCCGAGCCCCCCGGTGCGGCTGAGCACGGCCACACTCGTGTCACCCATAGGGCGGGGGGGCTGTGGCCGTGTCCCCCCCCCCCGGCGGGGGCCTCCCGGCTCCGGCGCTGCCGCCTGTTTTCCCTGGAAACGGTCGCTACGGCCGGAGCCCAAATTCCTGGGACTTTACATCAGGCTGCAGCATCCCGGGCCGGCATGAGGGGGGGTCCCCCGCCCGCGCCCCCCGCCATGGGTGTGGGACAGCACAGGGGCCGAGTTTGTTTCTGGGTACCCCCCCACCCCCAGCCCAGGTTTGGGGGGTGCTGGCTGGGTGCCAGCTTAACCCCCCCCACTCTGTGTGTGTGTGTGTGTATCCCCCAAAAATTATCAACTGATCGTTCACTGCCCCCCCTCCCCGAGCCCCCCACCAAGGGATGGCCACCTGCGGGGTGCCCCCCACATCCCCATCACCCCCCTCGGGGGGCTCTGCTGGGCCCCCCCCCCTCCTCCCCAGTGCGGGGGTCCAGCCCCGGGGCTGGGAGCCCCCCCCCAGCTCCACGCTTGGAGCCAAATTGGATCCATCTGGAGGAGCCGGGCGGGGGGGCCAGGATGGGAGGGAAAGGGGGGGCCCCCAAATCGCTGATGGGAAAAGCAGAGGGATGGATTTATGGGGTACGAGGGATGGATTTATGGGGTACGAGGTGATGTGGTGGCAGAATGGAGGGGGGGGGATCAGTTCCTAGAACCTTTCCCATCCATGGGAATGGGGGTGGGGGGTTTCCCCCCCTTTCCAACCCCCCAGACCCCAACTCACCACCACCAGGAGTGCAGGAAGCCGGGGGGCTCCCCCAGCGTGATGTTCTTCTCCCATCGGATCTGTGTGAGAGGGACACGGGGAGGGGGCGTCAGCAGCCCCCACCCACCAGAGATGGGGCTCCAGGACCCCCCGTGGGTGGGATGGGGGGGTCTGGGGGTGCTGCCCTCCCCCCCTTACCTCCGACAAGAAGGTCTGGGCGGATTTCTGGGCCCCCACGTGCAGCAGGTACTCGTAGACGTAAAGCGCCAACCTGGAGTGGGGGGGGACAGGATGGGGACAGGGACAGAGTCAGGGACCTGCCACCCCCACGGTGACATCCCCACCCAACGGACCCTGAGGGACACGGGAACAGCCAGGACGGAGCACCCCTCACTCAATTAGTGCAGAATTAATGAAGGAGGTTTGATGTCACCTCCCTGCGAGGGACCCCACCGGTGACACCGAGTGACTCCCACCGGTGACACCGAGTGACTCCCACCGGTGACACCGCACGCCCTCCACGGCAACCGGTTCCCACCGCTGGGGTGGCTCCAGGACAGGTGACACATGCCACACAGGATGTGGCCCAGGGGCGAGTGCCACCACGGCTGGCCCCTGGCAGGGGACACTCACGGAACCCCGGGGCACAGCCCCCGGTGCTCCATCCCCTCCCGGGAGCAGGAACGGGACCTGCGGGGGGGTTCCAGCTCCGGGGGGACGCGATGGGTGCAGCCCCCCGGACCCAGCAGGTGCCCCGGGGGCCGCGGTGGCCTCGGGCACCGGGACACAGCAGGACGGGGACACCGGGAACGGCCAGTCACGGTCCTGGGGACCGAGGGTGGCAGGGACCGGGGAGCGTCAGTAGCCCCGGTGCCAATTCCGGTCCCCGCTGCCCCGGGGGATGGCACGGCCGGGGAGGGCTCCCGGTGCCCTCAGGGATGCTGCGGACCGGGCGCATCCCGGCTCCCGGTAGCCCCGGTGCCATCGCGGGTCACGGTGCCCTGGGAGATGGCAATGCCCGGGGGGAACATCCCGGCTCCCGGTGCCCCGGAGGATGGCAGAGACCGGAGGGCACAGCCCGGTTCCCGGCAGTCACGGTGCGCTCGCGGTTCCGGTGCCCCGGCGGATGGCACGGACCATGGGGATCATCCCGGGTTCCGGTGCCCCGGGGGATGGCACGGTCGGGGAAGGGGCATCCCGGCTGCCGGTGCCCCCGGGGATGCTGCACACCGGGAGGATCATCCCGGATCGCGGTGCTCCCGCAGCTCCCGGTGCCCCACGATGTGGCAATACCCGGGAGGGCACATCCCGGCTCCCGTTAGCCCCGGCGTGATCGCGGCTCCCGGTGCCCCGGGGGATGCCACGGACCCCGGCACATCGCAGCTGCCGGTGCCCCGGGGGATGTCACGGACCGAGGGGGATCATCTCGGGTCCCGGTACCCCGGGAATTCACGGACCGGGGGGAATCATGCCGGTTCCCGGTACCCCGAGGAATGGCACAGATCGGGGGAAATCATCCGGCTCCCGATGCCCCCGCAGCTCCCGGTGCCCCGGGGGATAGCACGGACCAGGGGGATCATCCCGACTGCCGGCGCCCGGGGCGATGCCACGGATCGGGGGGATCATCCCGGCTCCCGGTGCCCCGGGGGATGCCGCAGACCGGGGGGCTCATCCCGGCTCCCGGTGCCCGGCTGACCCCCGCCAGCTCTCGCTGCCCCGCGGCTGCCGGTGCTCCCCGGCGGGGCGGGGCCGGGGGGTCCGCCCGCCCCCCGATCTCCCCCCGCTTTTCCCGATCTCTTCCCCCCCACCACCTCCTTCCTTCCCGCTCCGTCCCCGCTCCCCCGGCGCCCGCCCCGGCAAAAACTTCCGCGCCCCGGCCGTCCCCCGCCTCCGCCGCCCGGCGCCGCACTCACTTCTCGCGGGCCTGGCCGTCCGAGGGCACGCCGGAGCCCTTGCCCTTGGCGTACATGGCGCGGCGGCGGCTGTCAGCGGCCCCGGGCCCGGCCCCGCGCGGCCCCCGCCGCCCCCGCCGCCCCCGCTCCCGGCCCGGCCCGGCCCGGCCCCGCCGGCTGCGGCCGCGCGCCCGAGGGGGAGCTTGAAACCGCCGCGCCCCCCCCGCGCGGCTGTTCCGGCAGCGCCGCCACCACCCCCCCCGCGCCGCGCGCCGCGCTTAAAGGGGCGATGGCGGCGGGGGGAGGCGGTGGGGACCGCGCTGAGGAAAGAGGGAGAGGGGTGGTCGCGGGGAGGGGGACATGGGCACGGGGGATGTGAGGAGTGGGAGAGGAGGGTCACGAGCACGGGGTGGACACAGGGGGCACAGAGGGATGCGGATGTGACGGGGTGGACGCGGAGCCGAGGGGGTGAACGTGAGGGATGCGGGGTCACGGGGCCACGGAGGCCAGGAGTGGGCAAGGACACGGGGGACGCACGCGAGGGGGTGGGCATGGAGGGGCAAGGACACGAGGGGGGGTGGGCATCAAAGGACGGGGGCACACGGGGGATCATGGACACGAGGGGGTGAGTTAAAAGGGCAGTGACACGAGGGGACACGACACAGTGGTCACTGAGGGACACCACGGGGTGGACACGGACACGGGGGATGCAGGGAGTGGACATGTGGCAGGCTGGACACGGACGCGAGGGAGTGGGCACGGAGGGACACGGACACGAAAGGGTGAACACGGACATGAAGGGGTGGACACGGGCATGAAGGGGTGGATGTGGGAGGGGGGGACACAGGGGGACACGGGGGACACAGAGGGACACGGATGTGACAGGGTGGACACGGACGCGATGGGGTGGACTTAAAGGGGCAGTGACACGAGGGGATGGGGACAGGATGGTCATGGAGGGACACGGATTTGAGAGGATGGACAGGCACGGGCACACAAGGGGGTGGCCGCAGACACGGGGCACAGAGGGACACGGATGTGACAGGTGGACGTGGACACAACGGGCTTGGGCATACATGGACACGGACACGAAGGGGACACACGGACACGACGGGGGGACACAGGGACAGGAACGTGAGCATGGACTCGGACACCAGGGGGCGGACATGGACACGGTGTGACACGGGGGGACACGGGGGGGGGGACATGGTAAAGGGACATGGACACCAGAGGGGCTTGGACATGGGCAGTGGACACGAACACGATGCACTCAGGGCACGTGGGACACTGAATTGCAGACACGGGGAGGGGACATCGGGATGGGGACACCCACCCTGCCAGGGGACGCAGACACAGAATCCCCCGGTTCCCACCCGGTCCCGGGGTCCCCTCACACTCGGGGAGGTTCCTGTGCTGCCGGGGGGTGTCTGTGAGCACACGCGTGTGGGTGTCCCTGTGTCCCCACACCTGTGTCCCCACACCTGTGTCCCCACACCTGTGTCCCCCACCCCTCGGGGGTCACCGGGTCACCGGGACACTCAGCCAGTGCCGGGGGGGATGCTCAGCGCGCCAAGAAAGGACCGGGGGAGGGGGCTGGCAGGGGTCAGGGGGTGCTGATTTGGGGATGCTGCCCCCCTGCATCCCCCGGGGCCGGCTACGCCCTGGCAGGGTGACACGGGACAGCCGGACCCGCCTGTTCCTCTTCCCCACACCAGGCAGCAGCGGCCGGAGCGCAGGCGAGTACGGCTGCTGTGGTCGGGAGAGGGAAGGGGGGGCTGGAAATGCCCCGCTGGGACCCCCAGGAGCTGCCCAGCCCTGGAACAGCGGCAGTGGGGTGGGGATGGGACTGGGCTGCACTGGGAGGGGGGATCCGGTGGGAAGGAGGGGTCCTGATTCCCGTTTCCCACCAGGCTCTCCCTGCACTGGGGGGGACCATGGGGCTCCCTGCGACCCCGCTCGTGCTGCTGCTGCTGCTGCTGCGCCCCGTCACCCCCATGTCCATTATGTCCACCTTGCCCACTGTGTCCACGGTGTCCCCCTGCTCGGCCTTGCTGCTGGACACTCCCGGAGACCTGGACCTGACCAACAGGAGCCGTGGATGTGCCGAGCTGGACTGGAGCCCGTTCCAGCATCGGCGCCGGCTGGTGCTGAGGCACAACGGCATCGAGTCCCTGAGCCCCTCGGCCCGCCTGGGCCCCAGCACGGAGGAGCTGGACCTGGCACAGAACCGGCTGCGGGAGCTGCCCGAGGGATTCTTCACCAACGCCACGGCCCTGCGGACCCTGCGGCTGGAGGGGAACCCCCTCCCCGCCGTGCCCCCCGCCGCCTTCCAGCCCACGCTCAGCTCCCTGTCCGTGTCCTGCCGCTGTGACCTGCTGGGCACCGTCCTGGCCCCCTGTGCCCGCTCGGGGATCCTCTGCCTCTGCTTCACATCCCAGCAGCATCCCTTCAACGTCACGGAATTCCACGGCCGCGAATGCGGGTCCCGCGTGGGTCTGGTGGCCGGGCTGGCCGCGGTGGCTGCTGCGGTGGCCGTGCTGGTGGTCGTGGGCGCTGCCGTGGTTTGGAACCGGCGGAGGAGAGAGGGAGCCGCGGTGGCCGGAGGGGGAAGGGAGAAGCAAAATCCCGCTGGGAACCTCCGGCAGCCCCGTTACATCAGCCGGGACACCGGGACCGGCAGCGCCGATGTCGTCAATGCCCCCGACTACGAGAACATCTTCGTGAGCCGCGGCACGGCCCCGGCTGCCGCGCAGGGATGGGCACCGGGATGGCAGGAGCAGCGCTACAGGTGAGGCTGCGGCACAGGGAAGGGACATTCCGGGAATGTTCCATCCCCTCCCTGCTGTGCTGTGCCCTCATGTGTTGTCCTGCGCAGTCCCGCTTCATCCCATCCCATCCCATCCCATCCCATCCCATCCCATCCCATCCCATCCCATCCCATCCCATCCATGACATTCCCTCCTCACTGAGCCCCCCCTGTCCCCCAGCTCGCAGGTCCTGGGAGATGAGAATTATTTCCTGGAGAGCACGGCCGATCCCGGGGACCAGCCCATCTACGCCAACACCCTGGGCCCCACCGAGGACGTCTACATCATTCCTGACCAGTGAGGAGCTGGGGGGACGCTGGGAGGGCTGGGGGGACACTCTCTGTCCCCTACTGATGCCCTTTCCCTGGCTGTCCCCCAGCCCTGAGGGGACAGGGACATTCCCCACAGCCCTGCAGGGTCACACGGGGTTCCCGCACGCACATCCTGTGGGAACGCTTTTTGCAGGGGGATTTTTGTTGTTGCTTTTTTTTTTTTTTTTTTTTTTTTTTTTTTTTTTTTAACAGCCCCAGTCCCCTCCTTCGCCCCAGTTCTCACCCTGGGGTGAGGGCTGAGCTGGTATTTCCTCCCGGGGCTGTGGCCGCTGACCGCAGGGACGCCTCGTGTGCCGCATCCGCCGGAGCTGCCACCGGGGCCGGGGGCCGGGACACGCACGGGGGTCCCTGGAGGAGCTGGGGCTGGGGCTGATCGCGGCCTTGGCTTCCTCTTCCCCTTTTGGGGCCGATGGAGAGCGTCGGGACGTGCTGGTGGTTGGGGACATCCGGTGCCACCTGCGCCCTCCTTTTCCTGCTAAATCCGCCGCTTCAGGGAACAAAGAAAAAGCTCATTTTTTAAAATCCTCCTGTTAAGATCCCGAGCTGTTGGGTGCCAGGGGGACATAGGGACCCCATGGTTTGTCTGGATGCCCCCCCAGCCCCTAGAAAGCTTCACTGTGTCCCATTAAATGGTTTAATTATTTCTAATTACCTGCATAACTCGTGGTCTGTGGGGAGCCCTGGGCAGGACATGGGGTTTTACCTGGGGATAGTCCCTGGAGCTCCCAGAACCTGTGTCCCCAAAGTGGGGGGTCCCAAGGGACCAGAACCCTTAAGGATATGTCCCCAAAACCTTTGTCCCCATGGCAGGGGTCCCAAGGAACCAACACCCTCAAGGACAGGTCCCCAAAGCAGGGGCACCCAAGGGACCCTCAGGGACAGGTCCCTAGAGCTCGTGTCCCCAAAGTGGGGGTCCCAAGGGGCCAAGAGCCAGGTCCCTCCAGTCCCTGTCCCCACAGAGGCCATCTCCACAGCTTGCATCCCTCAGTCCCTAAAACCCCACCCCGGAGCAGGGATCCCATATTCCACCTCCCCCAAGCCCAGGACACCCCCAGATCACACTGGAAGAGGGGACAGAAAGGAGCTGTGACCAGCAGAGCCACCCCGTGGAGCCATGGCGAGTCTCTTGGGGACACAATGTGTGCCACCATCCTCCGAGGGGGGGGCTCCCCCATGGCTTTGGTGCCCACGGGGTCCCAGGGCTGGAGGCACCTGGAAATGGGGCAATGGTCACCTCGTGGCTGGATGTCCCCCCCAGGGGTCAGAGCTGTGCCCAGAGCCCTTCCCAAGGACACAAACAACTCAAAGGTCTCTGGGAGCAGTGCCCAAGCATTACTCACATGCTGGCACTGGAAAGCCGTGAGGATTTACCAGCAAATCCACACGGAGTCATCCCAAGGGAGCTGAGGGTCCCAGGAGCAGGGGTCCAGTCAGAGACCCCCAAAAGTGTGCAGGAGGAGCAGCCAGAATTCCTGTTACAATCACTTTATTCATCATTATTACATCATTCTGGTTTTATAGAAATATATAAAATAGAAAAACATAAAAAAACCCTTCCCTCTTTCCCCCCAAAAAAGGACATTTTGCTATAAAATACAATAAGTTAGAAATAAATAACTGGGTTCCATAAATAAGTCTCTGAGCAGAGAAGAGGGTTTGGAGTAGGATATGGACACCTGGGCATGGACCCACCCCGGCCCATCGGGGGTCTTCGGGTGGGAAGGATCCACCTGCTCAATAAAATATGGATTTAAATAAGAGAAAAGAATAAGTTATTGTGGGGGAGAGTTCACAGCTGGGGCTGAGCTGGGTGGCAGAGCTGGAGACCCCAGGGCTGAACTGCGCAGCAGAGCCAGGGCTGGTGTGGAGTCACTCGGTGCCACAGGATCTGGATTTTGGGATGCTGATGCTGGAGACCCCATGGCTGAACTCAATGGTGAATCCAGGGCTGGTGTGGAGTCACTCGGTGCCACAGGATCTGGATTTTGGGATGCTGATGCTGGAGACTCCGTGGCTGAGCTCAGTAGTGAATCCAGGGCTGGTGTGGAGTCACTCGGTGCCACAGGATCTGGATTTTGGGATGCTGATGCTGGAGACTCCGTGGCTGAGCTCAGTGGTGAATCCAGGGCTGGTGTGCAGTCACTTGGTGCCACGGGATTTGGATTTTGAGATGCTGGAGCTGCCAGGTGTGGGGATGGCTTTGCCCCACCTGGATGGTGACACATCCAGGCTGGTGCTGCCAGCGCTGCCATCAGGCACAGTGGCACCTGGTGACCAGCATGTCCTCGAAGAGGCTGGACACCAGCCTGCCCTCGCTGTCCAGGTGCATCAGCACCATGGGGTCGTAGTCAGCGGGGACACAGCAGGGTGGAGGGGCAGCCTTGGACAGGGAATGCACTCGGGATTTGATCTGGGCGTGCATGCTGGCTGGTTTGTAGTTGTGGGGGCAGGAACCCTCGCAGAATCTCATGTAGTAACTGCTGGGGGCGACCACCCAGTCGGACCAGCCGATGTCCTGGAAGGAAACCTTCAGCGACTTCAAGCAGCATTTCCCATCGCTCTTCCCGCACTCCTCATCCAGCCCCCGAGCTCTCCTGGCCGCCCGAGCTGGATTCTCCTGCGTTTCCACCTCCAGCACCAGCGTTTCCCCCCAGGAAGTGGCCAGGGCAGCCGAGACGTTGGTGGTGAAATCCAGCTCCAGGCTCAGCGTGGCCTCGGGCCCGGCCACCCAAGGCTGGATGGCTTCTGTCAACTCCAGGCTCTGGAAATCCCGGTCCAGTTCTTGGCTGCGCAGGAGCTGGGGGGTCCCCTCAGCCCCCTGCAGGGTGTAAATGGTGACCCGCGGTGGCACCGAGGAGCCGGGCAGGGACAGCGAGTGCTTGAAGAGTTTCAGCTCCGCCCGCACCACCCGGAGCTGGCGGTGGAAATCCGCGGTGCGGGACAACAGGAGGTGGTAGCGGTAGGGACCGAGGGGCTCCCGCTGTCCCTGGGTGTCCCGGTGTCCTTGAGAGTCCTGATGTCCCTCGGAGATGTCCAGCCAGCGCGACACTGCGGGGACAGAAGGGACAGCTGATGTAAGAGCTAGCAATTCCTCATCAGCCTAGGTTTGGGATCAGCACCTGCCCGGCAGCCCAGCCCTTGCTTCCAGGGAAACACCCTCATCCTGAGGGATGCTGGAAATTCTTTGCTGTGCTCGTCCTCAGAGGCACCACCTCCAGGGACCCCCAGCTGGTCTGGAGGGTCTCAGTTTTCCTGGTGCCAGAGAAGGCGTCCCAGGACCACTTGGAGCACCCCCACCCACACCGCGATTATCCCCTCCCAGCCCAAGCAGCAGGAGGGGAATTATTTCCCTAAATCCCCCTCCAGAGGCAGGTAAATCCCCAAACTGGAGCTCAAGCTGGGGAGCGAGGGATGGAACCTCCCTTCCTCCTTCCGCTCACCCCCAAATCCCTCGAGCCCCGCTCCGAGCCCCCCGAGCTGCCGCTGATCAAAGCTTTCATCCCCCCCGCCCCGATTTTTTTGTGATTTTAAGCAAAACGCCTCCAACGGTGGCTCCTCCTCACTTCCAAGGCAAAGGAAGGCTCAGGATAAGGATGAGCGTGGCCACCGTGCTGCATGCCCGGTCTTGTCCCCAGGCAGCGGGGTGACATTCCCGAGTGCGGGACACGCTGGGACACTCGCGCGTCCCGGGGGGATGAGGGTCGGGGGGTGACACCGAGCCACGGCCACTTACAGGTGGGGGTCAGGCGGTGCAGCCGCCGGGTCCTGGACACGGCTTCCTCCTCCTCCTCCTCCTCTTGGCTTCGGTTCCTCGCCAGTTCCGCCACTTTCTGCTGGTAGAGCTGCTGCGCTCTCTGGATGCTCTCCTGGTCCAGCTGGCGCCGGATGACGGGGGGAGCCGGCATTCCCAGCCGCTCCAGGATCCCTTTCTTGATGGTTTCCAGCTGGAACCTGTCCTGGTCCCACGTGTGGGGCCGGGAATCGGCGGCGGAGAGGAGCAGCAGGAGCTGCAGGCAGGTGAGGGCGACCCCGACGCCCCGCAGAGCGTTCGGCATCGCTCTCCTCAGCATCCTGCAGAAATCCGGCGGCTTCAGAGCAGGATTTGTTCTCAGTTCTTGTGCAAAGGCTGGACGCGCTGCTGCTGGCGGTGCTGCCAGTGGAATGAATGAAGAGGACCAGACCTGACTTTATAGAAGCCGAACTTTGCCCGCCCTCCGTCCCCCCTCCCCGGAGGGTGACGCTGAGAGAACTCCCAGTAGGAAATCTCTCCTCTCCTAGGATTTCCAACAGGAGCTCTGCCATGCCGGAGCCGGGTGATGTGTAAACTGGTTTGCAGCTGAGGTGATAAAAAAAAAAAAAAAAAAAAAAGGAATAGTCCTTTTCAGACACAAACATTTCCTTTCTAGCTCCCGTTTTTTTCCCCCCGGATCGCACGGCTCGGGGAATCCCCCTCGCCTCCTCCGGCCGGCGGTGGCGGAGCTGGGTGATGGACAGGGGATGGTGTGCGAGGCAGGAGCGCTGCAGGCAGCGTTCCAAGCACGGATTTCCCATCCTCACATCCTCAGCCACCTCTCGGGTCGGGTGGCTCTTATCACACGGGGCTGATCCGCCCCTTCCCAAAATCCCAGCGGAGCAGGGATGGGGCGGGGAGCAGGAGGCAGCAGCTCGTGCCGGGCGCGTGGCCGGAGCAGGGGAAGGATCTGCACTGGACCTTGTCCCACCAAGGACAGGTGAGGCCGGGGGGATGCGCTCATCCCGAGCCTTCTGAGGCAACCGTGGCCGGGGTTACGTCATCCCAAATGGAGGCAGCCGAGATGGAGCCGGGCACGCCAAGTGGCAAAGATCCAGCGGGGCCACGTGTGCCGGGCAGCACCGTGCCAGAGCGGGGCTGGGCAGGAGGAAATTCAGAGTGGGAGCGAGCCCCGGGGGCCAGCACAGCACCGCCCCTCTCCCCGAGGCTTCTCCTCAGGGATGCTCGGACCAAAAAAATGTGAGCGGAGGGATGGATGAGACGCTCCCGGTCGCATGAGGTTCCCCCGGGGCAGGCGAGGCCATTCCCAAATGTCCTGAAGTTGATGTGAGCGCCTGGTGTTCGGCTGAGCTCCTGCCAGGGAAGAACGTGCGATAATCCTGTGATTTATGGCTGTTTTATCCCTGCTCCTCCTCGGGTCTCAGCTCCAGCCTTGCCCCGGCTTTTCTCTCCCAGTTTCTCAAGGGGTTGCCTGAGGCAAAACTGAGGCCGAGTTTCACCCTAAAGCACGGGAAAGGAGAAGTTTGTCAGGATGAGCAGGGTCATGCGGAGTGGTTGACCCCGGCCCTGGCTCCGCTGCCCTGCTCTGGATCCGTCCTTGCAGCAGGATGGGTGAGGAGGAGCAGGAATCCCCCCAGATCCCCTCCCCATTTCACTGCTTTTCCCTTCCCAGAGCATCCACCTTGGAAGGAAATCCCATGCGTGGCTCACAGGGAAACCTCAGTTTATCTCCAGGGCTTCATCCCAGGTGGGTTTGGGCACCATGAGTGGGACATTACCCATCCCTCCAGCAGCTGGGCAGGGATGAACGCCCCTCCTGGAGCCCCTTCCCACAGGGAATTCCCAAAGCCCCAAACCTGCTGTGATCCCTCTCCCAGCTGGGGTGACTGCAACCCTCCAGCCCCCCAAATCCAGGGAAGGAAGGAGAGGGAGCACCAAGGGCAGAACCACCACACCATTCCCTGCCTCCAGACATCTCCGTGGCCACATCAGGCACCAACCCAGCCACCATCCCCAGGGTGCCAAATGTGCTGATCCAGAGCCAAAATGGAGCCCTTGGCACACCCGAGTGCAGGAAGAGGCCCTGGCCTCTCTGGTGACATTGAGCAAGACCCGGCAGAAACCCCGAAATCCCAAAGTTCTGCTTTTGCAATGGATTTTCTGCCCGTGGGTGCGAGCCCCGTATGCAGGAGTGACGCATTCCAAGAGCATCAAAATTTGCTGGAGCCGGATGTTTTCCCCCAAAGGCGCCAGCAGTGGAAGCCAGAGATTTACAGTCCAGCAAGAGCCATAAAAAAGGGATTTTGGGAGCAGTGGTTTGATCCTGAGCGAGCGATGATGAAATGTCCCAGCGTGTCCTCACCAGCCTGCAACAGGGGATTGCGCAGCCTCTGCATCCCACGTTTCCTCAGCTCTTCCTGGCCGTGTTCAGTGGTGGAAGGTCAGGTTAATCCAGTGCCTTCTCCCAGTTGGATGAAGCTTTCTCTCCAGTTAATTCATCCCATGTGGGTCCCTCATCTTGGCACAGCTCTGCTGGCATGGATTTTTTGGAGCAGGGACGCTCAGGGGATTGCTGTTGCCAGGGAAAGAGCAGCTGGGATGGGCTGGGGGTGAGGAGGATGGAACTCTAGGAAGTGCAAGAAAAGCTCAGCTCGTGCACTGCTGAGCCTGGAGAGGTGTGGAAGTGTCCAAGGCCAGCTTGGATGCGGTTCAGAGCACCCTGGGACAGGGGAAGGTGTCCCTGCCCATGGCAGGGATGGGCTTTAAGGTCTCTTCCAACAAAACCATTCCGTGATTCCAAATAAATAATGTTTTCCCTTTCTCCAGATGCTGGTGGTAGGTGGGGAGCGTGGTAAGGACACAAAGCAGGAGGCTCCAGAGGGCTTCAGTTCCCTGAAATGCAGGAAATTCTCTAGAGCTACCCGAGCTGGCAGAAACTTCGGGGTTTTTTTGCAGAGTTCCTTATCACAAGTGGCAAGAGAGGAAGTACTACCTTCCAGATTTTAGGGCTATCAGTTCCTCACAGTTGTTGAGCAAAGGTTCACCAAAAAGTGACCCATGGGAATTGGTGGCATCACCCTGGGACCGACAGAGCGGGATCGGGTTCTTCCCACATCCTACAGGACCTCAGTGATGCCCAAAACCACTTGGGGTGAGCAATTTGGATGCTGCAGGGAGGATATTCCCTGGAAAAAATGGAATTCATGCTTCCCCATGGTGTTTTTTCAAGCAAAGGATAAGAAGGGAAGAGCAGCCTGGCTGCTGCCACCACACAAAGCTCCAAGCAGCCCTTGGGGCTTGGCCTCAAGGGAAGTTGGAGCTGGAGGCTCCAGGAATTATTCGAGATGAGAAATGCCTCAGTGAGGCAGAACCCCAGGTGGGGTTTGCTCCATCCCATCTCATTTCAGGTCTGGAAAGGGGCACGGAGGGATGGGAGACAGAGCTGTCCCTCTGCTGCCAGCGTGGGATGTTTGGGAAGCCTCATTCCATGTTTTCCCAGCGCTGCTGCTGTCATGATGAATCGGAACAGTGGACGCTGCCGTGACCTTTGGATGTTTCTAAATCAAAGACAACCAGGATGGGTCAGGCAAGCAAAGAGCAGCTTTTGCCCTGTCACAGCAGGAATCACATTTTTCTCCCTTTGCTGAGAGTTTACGGCATCTCCCAAAAATGAGACTTCTGCTCCACTTGGACAAAAACATTCCTGGCTCGGCTGCACCCGCGGTCAACGATTAACTCGGATTCCCAGCCCCCTCAGCCCGGGAAGTGCAGGAAATGCCTCTGGTCCGACCACCAAAAATGGAAATCTGCCTTGGGAAATCCTCACTCACGCCACAATCACCTTCCTCTCGGAGATGCTTTTGCCACCAGGATGTTCTCTGCTTCCCAAGGAGCATCTTTGCTGCATGGGTTCCCTAGACAGGGATTTCCAGGGAGGGTCTGTGCTCCGCTGAGGATGATTTTCAGTTTAGAGATATTAAATAGAATTCCTTGAGAGCATCATGGAGTTGGACCTCCTGATCCTTGTGGGTTCCTTGCAGCTCAGGATATTCAGGGTGAGGATATTCAGGGAACAAGCTCAGCTTGGGTAGGATTGATGTGATGATTATTGAGAAGCAGCTTTTAAAAGCAGCTTTTCTTTGGTGGGAGCATCTTCCTGTTCAAACTCACCCTTCCAAAGTGCCAGAACAGCCATTTCCCTCCATTTGTGGTGTAGATCCAGGAGGTAATGCCAGGCCAAGGCTTTTGGGAGCGTTGTGATCCCTTGGGCTGAGCTCAGGAATGAAGCTCAAAGTTCCAAGGGAGCAAAATCAGCTCTAAATCCTTCCTTCGAAAAGCTTTCTAAAACTGAGCAGGGGGAAAAAAATGGATGCAAGGAACCAAATCCAACCTGGGCACATCCCTGAGCAGCATCTCTTTTACCAAGGAAACTCTTAGGACACAATAAAAGAGAAGGATGGCATAGCAAGTTCCTTAAAATTGTAGGATTTTAAGTGTGGATGCTTTAAATGATGGGAATGATAGATGAAGGAAACCAAACCCAACCTGAACACATCCCACAACAGCATCCCTTTTATCAAGAAAGATGCTACAAGAGAAAGACAACCCCAAAACCTCCTTAAAACCGTAGTATTTTAGGAACCTGGATGATTTTTACAGCACGAAGCACAATTTTGGATGAGGAACAAAGGTGGAAGCAGGTGGAGAATTCGGGGAAGTCGCTGTCAATCCGACCTCCGGGATAAATTAATGTATTTATTTGTGAACTCGGGGCCGGGTGAGGCTCCACGTGCCCATCAGGAGGGAATTAGTCACCGGAGCGTGACTCGGGAAAGGGTTGTGTACACACAGGGCACGGCGCTCCCGCACCGAGCATCCACGGCGGCACAGGGAAGCAGCTGGAGAGGAGCAGCACCGAGAGATTTTCCCCCCCAGGCTGCAGCCGTGGTGCCGGCTGGGAACTGGCCAAAAAAAAAAAAAAATCCCATCCCGCAGCAGCGAATATCCATCTGCATCTCCTGGATCTAGGCAGGGAGGGGAAGCCACGGTGAGGAGTTTTGGGATGGGGGATTACTGAGGCAGAGCATCATCCCTGGCACGGGGAGCTCAGCCTGGGAATTCTGTGATCTGCTGGGAGTGTGTCCATCCACAGGTTACCCATTCCAGGGGGTGAGAGGTGGAGGATCCTGCCCTGGGATGTGAACTGGGATGTGTCCACACAGGGATCCTGCCCTGGGATGTGAACTGGGATGTGTCCACACAGGGATCCTGCCCTGGGATGTGAACTGGGATGTGTCCACACAGGGATCCTGCTCTGGGATGTGAACTGGGATGTGCCCACACAGGGATCCTGCTCTGGGATGTGTCCACACAGGGATCCTGCTCTGGGACATGCCCTGGGATGTGCTCACATATGGATCCTAACCTGGGATGTGCCCTGGGACATGCCCACACATGGATCCTAACCTGGGATGTGAACTGGGATGTGCACTGGGACATGCCCTGGGATGTGCTCACACATGGATCCTAACCTGGGACATGTCCACACACAGATCCTGCCCTGGGACATGCCCTGGGATGTGCCCACACATGGATCCTGCCTTGGGAAGTGCCCTGGGATGTGCCCACACAGGGATCCTGCTCTGGGATGTGCCCTGGGATGTGCCCACACATGGATCCTGCTCTGGGATGTGCCCTGGGACGTGCCCTGGGATGTGCCACACGCGCCTCACCCAAGGCAGGCAGGACAGGAAATTCCAGCCATTCCCCTGCACCAGAGCCGCAGCTGCGAGGTTTTGGGTGGAAGCTCTGGGGAGCCCTCCCGCAGCACCTTGGCTTTGATTTGCAAGCTGGGAAAACAGGGAGAGGGAGCAGCCTGCCAGATGGACGCTGCCCAAAAATCCCACCTCGTTTAGGAAGGGGTTGGAAAGCGGGAGGAGCTGGGGAGGAGGAGAGAATGGCAGTGGAGAAGGAAGAATTAAAATCTTTGAGGAGCCAGTCCACCAAAGGGATCTTCTCCATGGATCTCTGCATCTCCACCAAGGAATCCAAGCGGGACGCTCCAGGAGGAGCCTCCTCACCTCGAATAAAACCTTAAAATCTTGGATTTGTCCCCCCGGAGGGTTCTGTTTGTAAAATGACCTCATGAGCACATGACTTACCCGAGGCATGACATCACCCCGGGAACACCGCAGGAAAAGCTTCTCACCTTATAAAGGGAATTAAAAGGGGAGTGAAGTCATCAGGGCTTGGCTCAGTGGCCGCTCCGAGCTCAAATCCTGGCTCACCTGTGAGGGAGATCCCAAAGCTGCCGGTGCCTGGAGTGTGCTGGGTGTTGGTGGGTGGAATAAAAGCTCCATCTCCAAGAAAAGGCTGGAGAGCTCAGCAGGATCACCATGGCAGCTCAGGAAAAAAAAAAATTAAAAAAATATCCTAGAATTAAGGCATTAAAAACCAAGAGAAAAAGCAGAGATCCCAGAGGAACAGTGACTTTGTCCTTTCTGATCCTTGCTCCAGACAAAAAGCACCTGGAGCAGGGGCATGGAGCACGGTGTGACCTCCCTGAGCCCCAATTCTGCCAGCGTTTGGTCTGGGTTTTAATTACCTCGGGTAATGAATCCAGCTCCATCCTGCTGTGCCTGGATCCCGTGGAGCTGCTGGCGAGGGGTGACACCAACACCCAACGCGGGGCTGTGCTGCTGTCCCTTCCCCGGTGACATTCCCTGCCCTGTGCCACTCCAGGGAAGTGGGGACCAGGAGAAACCCCCAGGACCACGCTGGAGCTGAGGAGGGGCTGTAGCCTCCGGTTGTGCTGGATCAAGCTGGAATTCACCCAGTGTTGCACCCTCTGGCTGTCCTGGATCGCTCTGGATCCGTGGAGGGGTCACACCCCTCCCTGTTTCCCGGATCGACCCGGAGCTGTGGAGGGGTGGCACCCTCGGCTGTCACCCGGGGGTGACACCGAGCACAACGAGCACCATCTGCTGGCACCAGCCCTCCCAGCCAGCCCAGTTTGCTCCCAGTCAGGACCAGCGGCAGCAGGAGCAGGGAAAGAAAAGCCTTAAAGCTGCCAGCACAAAGTTTCCATCCCTGGAGGGGGGTAAAGGTGTGGATGTGGCACTTGGGGACACGATTTAGAGTGGCCAGGGCGGTGCTGGGGGAACAGTTTGGTACCAACCACCACCTTTAAAACCAACCAGGGCGACAGGACGCTCAGAATCAGAGTTAAACTCTTTATTTCCTTTGAAACAGGGGTTTAAATCCTCAGTTACAAAGTCCAGTCTGGCAGTACAAGCTGGGAGCGCGTCCCTGACCCCACAGCCCCCCCCGGGACTTGGGGATTGTTGGGATTTACAAGGCACTGCAAGAACACACGGACGGGTTGGGATCGGTGCTCCAAGAGTCCTGACAAGCACGAGGTGACACCTGAGATGCCCACACAGACACTGGTGGCTTCACAAAGGGACACACGGACACCGGAAAAAAAAAAAAATTTGGACAAACACCTCGCTCCGAGAGGAGACAGCAAATCCCTCAGGAATTGGGGCAGCCCAAGCAAAAGTGAGGATGGAACAGCAAATTTCTGTTTTGGGCAGATCCCCGTGTGACAGCAAACCTGGGGAAATCAGTCAGGGCAGTCTCTGAGGAGCACCCACGGATAATAATAATTATTATTAATAATAATAATAATAATAATAATAATGGGGATTCCCAGCCCAGTTTTTCCACCCACACATCCATCCCCATCACCCCCATTCTGCTTCCCAAACGTGAGCCCAGCACGGGACAAGGCACTCCCTGATCATCAAAGTAAACATTTGTGATTTAAGAGGCTGGTGCAATGGAAAACCTGAAGGTGGATTTTGAGTTTTCTGTAAGGGCAGTGATAGTTTCATTTCCCATCTTCTATTCCTATTTGTGGGGAGGCATTTCCTTCCCTACTTTGTCTTAAAATAGACTCAGCAGAAGCAGGTCCCAGGTTTCAACGAATACCTCGAAGAATTAACAACGCCCTCAGCTCTGGAGCTTTGGCAGAATATCCTTTTCAGCACATAAGACACTCATCAGACAGGAATACAAGGGTTTTTTTTTATGAAAAAGTGCACTTTATACTGCAAAAAAAAAAAAAAAAAAGGGATTCTGGTGCAAAAATAACAAATCCATCTAGATCAAGATGAGTATTTATGGTATCGACAAGGGGGGTTTTTCTCCAAGTCAATAAATTTTGAAAGGAATACAAGGGTTTTTTTTTATGAAAAAGTGCACTTTATACTAAAAAAAAAAAAAAAAAATAGGGATTCTGGTGCAAAAATAACAAATCCATCTAGATCAAGATGAGTATTTATGGTATCGACAAGGGGGGTTTTTCTCCAAGTCAATAAATTTTGAAAGAGCCTTTGCAACTCTGAAATTCCTATTGTTAAAATAAAATTAAATCATTAAAATATTATTGGATAAAGTATTAAAGTAAAAGGAGATAAGAGGGAGGGAGTTACTTTGGGAAAGGATCTGTACAAATTCATTGCTGATGATTTCATCTGAGCTGTGGGGTGAAATCTGAAAGTCAGAATGAAAAAAAAGCCCCACAGAAAATCATTTTTATGCCTCAAGATCCTGATTTTCAGTCAGATTTTGGACACCACCACTCCCTCCTGCAGCAGCTCCGTGTCTGAGCCTTGGCTGGAGTGAGAAATCCAGAAGTTAAAAAGATTCAGGAGTCACAAGGAATTAAACCACAACCCCTCAGGGCCAGACTGTCATTGCTGCTGCAGCTCCTGGGGGAGCAGGGATTCACCAAATTCCCTCTTTTCCAGGGTTTTCCCATTTTTTTTGGTTTGAAGAAGCTCCTCCTCTTGCAATTCCTAAAAAAAAATCCCTAAAAAAAAAAAAAAAATCAGGACAAGGAGCCAGAGAATCCCAGGATGGTTTGGGTTGGAAGGGACCTTAAAGATCACCCAGTTCCAACTCAACTCAAGGGTATTTGAGCATCAGAAGAAACTTCAGTGGATTTTTAAACTTTTTTTAGACCTTTCCTTACCAAAACCAACAACACTGGGAGCCTGTGGTGTCCCAGCAGCTCTGGAATCTCCCGGGTTTTTATTCCAGTGGCCTGGAATAATTCCCTTTTCCAGCTGCTGAGGCACTGGGAGGTTCAATATTGCCTGTCTGGGACACAGGGGGGGTTTGGATACACCTGGCCCCAGGTGAGTTCAGACACAAAACACCTTTTCCCACGGGATTTTCCACAGCACAAATCCCATGGAGGGGATAATTCACACAGCCCTGGCTCAAGGAATGTTTTCCTGCCGTGGGTATCACCATCCTCACAGTTCCCAGGAAGGATTGATCCCGAATTTATCCCAAAATAAAGCAACTTTTTAGGGTTTTTTTTAAAAAAATTTTTAGGATGTCTCAAACCCTGCCAGGTCCCTCTGGGAGCTCAGCAGTTCCTGGCTGCAGCCTCACATCACAACCACACCCCACACCTCAAACCCTCTTTCCTGACCTTTCCATCCTTTCCCACCTGTCCCACAATTTTGGGAGGTTGGGGAATGCTCCAGGTAAGGTGAACTGCTCTTCAGGAGCTGACAAGACTCTGTTCTCTCCAAAAAAAAAAAAAAAAAAATCCAAACACCTTTCAAGCACAGCACAGAACCCCTCAGGTTGGGAGGGAATCCCTAAGGATCATCAAATCCCACAGGAATCCTTGAGGCTCCAGGAATTCCTTGAGCTTGGAATATTCCTATTCCTGGGGAAATTGGGAAAAAAAGAAAAAAATTCCTTTTTCCTGGGGTTATAAAGCAGATTCCCAAAAGTTGAATTCACCTCCCAACAGCAGCATCACCAAATCGAGACATTTCTGAATCTCTGGAGTTCCTCAAAATCCTCTGCAGCACTTTAGGGCTGGAAAAATTCAATTTCCACTTCAAACATTCCCCAACCCGTGGGCCAGCCCCTGCTCCAGGCAGATCAGTGACATCAGACCCAATCCAGCAGAACCTCCCTCATCCTCTCTTCCACACCAAAATTCCTCAGCCCCCCCCTGAACCTTTATCCCCAGAGACAATTTTGCAGTCACAGCACCCTAAAATTTCTGTGGTTTTCACTTTTTTTTTTTCCCCCCACATTACATGAGAATGAATGCTCCACCTGAATTTCCTATGATTTTACTCACTAACACAAAATTTTGGGGATTGGTAACAGGTCTCACAGTCAGTGCAAATTAGCAAATTCTATTAATTGATGATGTGGAAAGCAAATAGGATTTATCCAAACATCAGCTTTTTGAAGCTCTGCATCAGTTTGATATCCTATTCCCAAAGAAAATAGGGATCTGTAGGAAAAGTTTTGTGAATTGAACAACAACAACAAAAAAAAAACTTTTAAAAAAACCCCAACCCCAAAGTATTTAATTTAGGTCATATTAAATAAAATTAGTTCAATGCCATTTTTCCCAAGTTGGGCTACAAGAAATTTCTCTACCACCAAGACACCTTTTACCAACACAACCTCAGGCTAATTTCCCAAACCCTACCCCCCCCCCAAAAAAAAGGAGTATAAAATAAATTATGTTTTCTAAGGAATTGAACATGAGGTGCTTCCCAAAAACAGACTGGGAGGAAAAGCACAGCTCGAAGCATTCCCCAAAAATGGGATTTTTAATGCAGACAAGGCCAAGCACTGCAGTCCTCAAACTCTGGATTTTCCCCTGGAGCAGCAGAGAGCACCCAGGAAAAGGAATATTTTTAGAATATTTTTAGGCTCAAACTCCCTGGGCTGAACAAACCAGCGTGGGAAGAGCTCTGCCCACGGAACTGCTGCTGTCTGTGCTCCCTGCTGATGGATCCTGAGCCACCAAACTCATCCAGGGGCAGCTCCAGGGGGGAGCTCTGCACCTCCCGAGGGGGCAGGTTCAGGGATGGGCAGGTGATGTCTCACCTGGAGACTCTGAGCCCTCTGTGGGTCCCACCCCTGCCCTGCTGGGATTCCATGCTGGCAATTTTGGTGTGGCCTCACCAATCTGTTGATTTCATCCACAGCTGCATTACAGGTGAATTAAACAGCTTTTTTTTTTTTTTTGGGATTTACTCCATCACCAAACCCCGTGGGATATTCCTCTTCCCCAAATTGAGCAGCTACGAAATACCCAGGACAAAAAAAAAACAAACAAAAACATCTCACCAACAAAGGAAGGATCCTATGGGGATAAGGAACTCGACTAATCACAAAAAAAAGAAATCAAAAACAAAACAACTGTGTCGAAGATTCCAACAAAATATTAAATAGAATAAATTACTAATCAGGAAATCTGACAAGTGCTACCTCGGATTCAATGGGAACAACAATAATTCACTTGAAGGCAAATTCCTCAGAGCAGGAAGGCCTGGATAGTGAAAAGAGAGGAAATTTCCTTGAGTCTATTTAAAAAAAAAATAAAAAAATCTTCCTGCTTAGGTGCCCTCAGCAGAGTCCTTGCAGCTGCAAAGTCTCTGTCCCAGCTCAAGGGTTACAAGGAGTGGTTTTGTCCTGTCACCAGATTTCTCCTGGCAAGCTCAGGGCAGCTCTCACTGAGAGTTACTATAGCAGAGCCAGTCAGCACCAGAGAAATTCAAATCGTGGGGTTTTAAAACCTTTAAAACGTTGTTTTATATATATTTATAACTATTTGTAAAAGCATCCATTCCAATCACTGATTTCTTCATTCCAATGGCCTCTCCACGAGGCCTCAGCTCCCAATTTTCTGTCTGGTCCTGCTCCAACTTTCAGCTGGGTTTTTGCTGGAATCTCAGAATTTGGCAGCAAAATCTCCACACAAGAGCAGCATCACCCACCTGCTGAGATCCTGCACTTCCCCAAAATAACTCCTGGGAAAGCTCCCACAAGCAGCACCACTTCTGCACCCTCCCATTGGGAGGGGGACACCAAGAAAAAACCCCAAATCCTCCCTCTAAGCGAAATTCCTCAATTTCAAATCATTGCCTGATTGGGATTGGGTTGAAAAATCTGATATTTGATTTTGCAAGGGTGTCTTTCCACCTGCACATTTTTTTTTTTTCCCCTCCACTCAGTCAAGGTGGAATTGGGATCTCAGTTGAACATAACTCTCCTAACCTGGAACAAGAGGGAAATTTTGCAGCTCAGGGAGTTTATAAATTCTTCAACCTTCACCCCAAAAAACAGCATCGAGCACCAAGAGCCCAGGATAAAGATGTCCCATGGGGAAAGTGGCCCTCAGAAAAGCTCTTTACCCACTAATGATTGGTTTTAGACACACTTTGAACCGAGGTGTTTGCTACAGGAGGTCCATGCTTGACTCGAGGGAGGGAGGTGGCCAAAAGAGAGGCAGAAAAAAGAGATTTGGAAAGATTTCAGGCTCCAAAATTAAAAAAAAAAAAAATATAATAATAAAAAAAAAATCCAGCCGGATTTGGGTTCCAAAAGGAACATCCCTCCTGCTGCAGCTACAGAGACCTCATGGATATCTGGAGGATGTGGAGTGAGGAATCAATGCCCAAAATCATTTTCCATTCCAGCAAAGCAATTTCAGGCTCCTCATACCCACCAAACTCTGCTCTCCAAGACAATTCCCCTCCATCCCAACTCCAGCTGTCCTCCCATGTTATCACCTTGAATTTGGGTCAAGAGAAGGGGGGAACACAAACCCAAAACCAACTGAAAGCAAACCTTTCAACTCAAGATTTAGCCAGGAGAGGATTGAGTGAGCCATTCCCTGCACCTGAAGGCTGAGTCCAGGTGAGGAAGGTGCCAGGGCAGATCTGGCAGATGAGGATCCATTCCCTGGAAACTCCTCCTTCAGGAATGAGGAGCTGCAGGTGTTTTAGAGAAGAGATTTTTCAATCCTTTGTTGCTCAGGCTGGAACTCACAGATTCAACATTTAAAAAAAAAAAAAAAAAAAGTTAATTTCTAGAAGTGGAATTTTCCTTTTTTTCTTTTTTTTTTTAAGTCTCCAATTCTGGGTCCAGAACCATTTTTTGTTGTTTTTTTTCTTTTTTTTTGTTTTTTTTCTTTTTTTTTTTTCCCCTCAATACTTCGGCAGCAGGGAAAAAAAAAACGTTGGAAGTGCAATACTAGGAGAGCTCCTGGGCAGGCTCAGTGTTCATGTTGACAATTGATTTTGTCTTCAGAATGCTCCAAAACATCCAGCATTTCCTCTATGATGGCCTGCAGGGCCCGGCCCAGCTGTTCTGCAGAGTAAGGTTTGCCCAGAGGAGGCACGTGGATAAATGCTGACCTCCCACGGCTCTGGTACAAGGAGGTGTAGTAGGTGAAGTCACAGAGGTACCTGGAACACAAAAGCAGAGGTTATCAGCAAAAAAACCCAACAAAAAAACAACAAAAAAAGGGATAAAAACAGATAAAATGAGCTGTAGGTTCAGCATCGTGGTGGCATCCTGGGATTTAGGGGAGTGATGTGGAATGTAAGGCAGGAATTGTGAGGCTGGGGTTGTTTTAATTAAATTCAGGATGAAAAATGTGAATGTCTTTTTTTTTTTGTCCCCTGAAAAACCTTTTTTTTTTCCACTGCAAACCAGGTGGTTTTGCCAGCCCTGAGAAGGGAAAGGTGTGGGAGGCTTCAGACACCACGGGGATGTGGCACCTGGGGACACGTGGTGGCCTTGGCAGTGCTGGGGAATGGCTGGACTCGATCATCTGAGAGGGCTTTTCCAACTTCAGTGGCTCCAGGGACAGGGTATGGACTGTAGGAGCACAAAGGGAACAGGAGTGACACTGTCACAGGAGGCTGTGGCCGTCCCTGGATCCCTGGAAGTGTCCAAGGACAGCCTGGATGGGGTTTGGGACAGTGGCAGGTCCCTGTTCCTGGCAGGGTGGGATGGGATGGGATTTAAGGCCCTTCCAAGCCAAACCACTCAGGGATCCCCTGATTCCATGAGCAGGGTGACAAATGGTGTTAACCAGGCTGCCAGGCCCTGAGGGGCTCCAGGAGAGCTCAGAGGGATTTGGGATGAGGGATGGAGGGACAGGACACAGGGAATGGCTCCCACTGCCAGAGGGCAGGGATGGATGGGATATTGGGAATTGTTCCTGGGAGGATTCAAGGCCAGGCTGGAAAGAGAAACTCCAAGAAAACCTTGGAGCCACTTCCAGAGCCTGAAGGGGCTCCAGGAGAACTCAGAGGGATTTGGGATGAGGGATGGAGGGACAGGACACAGGGAATGGCTCCAAACTGGAAAGGGAAATCTGGGTGGGATATGGGGAAGGAATTCCTGGCTGGGAGGGTGGTGAGGGGCTGGGCTGGAATTCTCAGAGATTCCCTGAATCCCTGAAGTGCCCAAGCCCAGCTTGAACACCAGGAGCTTGGAGCACCCTGCAAAACCCTTAAAGTGCCTCCTAACCCAAACCACTGCAGGATTCCCTGAGGCCACATCCCCACGGGTCACCCCATACCTGCCAGCATCCTTGGAGATGGTGACAGTGACATCGAGCCCCAGGGCTGAGACCCTCCTGCACACGGCGTCCATGTCGATGATGGAGTCGATGCACTCGGGTCCCCCCTCCACGCAGCACTGTGAGCCCGGGCAGAAACGACAGTTGTCCAGCCCCTTGTAGCCCACGTTGTGGCCACACTTCTCCAAGGTGACAGTAGTGGCCATGCCAGACACTCCCACGTGCACCACCAGCTGCCAGGGGAAAGGGATGGGTTGGATTGTGGGAAATGTGCAGCCTGATCCTTGTGGGATGCTTCCAGTTTGGGATATCTCTGCTATCTGTGCCACTCCCTTCCCTTGTCCCAAAATCCAGCTCTCTTGGACTGGAAGCCTGGTGACAAACCTTGTCACCACGTTCATGAAATCACAGAGTCCTGTGGGTTTGGGTTCTGGACGTGGCACTCAGTGGTGCTCAATCCAAGGTTGGACTCGATGATCTTTGACCAGCCTGAACGATTCTGTGGCAGGATTTTGGGGTCCTCCCCACCCCAAACCACCCTGGGATTCCATGGTTCCACTCCCACTGAACCACGGAGGGGTTACAGGGATTTTTTTTTTTCTGTGAGTTCCAGGAGGAACGAGGCATTTTTATCATGTTCTTCTCGTTTCACCCCCTCCTGAGCTAAACTGTGATTTCATCAGGGTAAAAAGGAGCCTTGGCACCTTCACAGCTGCTGGAGGAGCCCAGGTGGCACAGACAAACCACGAGCTGTCTAGACAGCCCTCTGCAGTGGCCCCTTCACACCCACTGCTCCTGGGAACTGGAGCACTCCGAGCTGTAAAATCCTACAAATTCACATGTTCCCACCACAAAAGAGGAAAAGATCCAGCCAGGCACTACCAGGCTGAAGGAATGCATTAAAAAGGAGACTTCACATGGTGCCCCACTGCAGATTCCAACCCTCTGCTGGGTGGTTTGTTTTTTTTTTCTCCTCCCTTTACTCACTCACTTGGGGACTGTGCTTCTTCCACAAGGCAGGGATGAGTCTCTGCACGGTCTGGTACTCAACAGGGACCTCGTAGACATGAAGATCCACATCATCCCCCAGCCCCAGCTTCTCCAGCTCCTAAAAACACCAAGAAAGCAAAAAACCAAGATGGTCAGACACAAGATGAGCAGAGGATTTACTCCTGGAAGGTTTAATGGCAGAGTGAGGGACTAATACCAGTTTACACCAGGTTGTATAACCTCATAAACAGCACCTGCAGTGAGTTTACAGCAACCACTGTAAAAAAAAAATAAAAAAAAAAAACTAAAAACCAAACCCGTGATGGGAACGGCAAACTCTCCACCTGTGTGAAGAGTTTCACCCACAGAACCGTTTGTCTGGCTCTGATGTGTGTGTGACAAAGAAATCAACATTTAACTGACAATAGTTATCAGCAGCACCCACGCTCCCAAGGAAATCTTGGCTCTGTTATTTCTAGAGGCAGAGAGAGAGAGTCACAATCCCTACTTCTTTCAAGGAGTGACAGTGTAGGGAAGGTGGGACTGGAAGGATTTTATCCATCATCCAGAGCTGCTGGCCTGGAGAGTAATTTCACGTTTATTTCCAGATAAAAAGCTCTCAGGGCTGGGTGACAGCACTGGTGATTCAAGCAACTCAGTAAATTATTTTTTCCTCTCTAACATGAAAACATCCCAAATATCCTGGCAATAAACGGAGCCAATTTCCTTCAAACCTTTTAAAACACAAAGTGTCAGTTAAACACCTTGCAAACACTTTAAAACCACAGGAAAGGGTGGTTTTGGTTTTGTTTTGGTTTTTTTTTTCTCCTCAGTATTTCTGACTGGAAAACTCTGTTTGATCCCAAAACTGGGAGTTCCCCCTACACACAGGTTCTGGATGCTTCTCCTTTTCCCTGTCCAGTCCCACCAGTAAGGCTCCAGTTGGAGCTTTGCTCCTCTGACACCTCTCAGAGCCATCAACCCCCAAATTCCCAGAACTCAAGGAAACACCCACATGGTCTGAAGCCTCTGGAGAAAAAAAATAAAAAGGTTCTTAAACAAAACCATCTAAACTTTGGAGCCAGGTAACACCAGGAAGCATTTTTCCAGTGGGAGAAGAGACCTTGGCCATCATGTTTAAGGAATTCCTGCAGCATCTAACCTGGTCCAAGCTTTGTCACCAAATGTCCAAAATGTTCTTATGGATCTGAGGTAGGAAGAGGCAAAAGCCATTAAACTCTCAAAGGACATTTCAAAATATTCCTGAGTTTATCTCAATTCCAGGTTTGGATTTGGTGACCAGAGCCACGAGCTGCTCTTTGGAGCAATTCTCAGGCTTTATTTTCCTCCTTGCAAGCTTCAGGCCAAGGAGTGCAGATCACTTGTTTTTCCTCTCCAACCTTGTATTCCCCCAGGTTAAAAATTAAAAATTAAAGACACTTGAAAGGAGAAGACAAGTTGATGTTTGAAGCCACCCCCATTTAAACACGAGCAGTGTCTTGCCATCGTTTTTCCATGTTTTTATCAGCATGAGTGGTTTTCTACTGAGGAAAAAAAAAACACCTTTTACACTTGTACAGCCAAACCACTGCGATGTAACAAGATTTAGGATAACTAAAACACCCAGAAAGGCCAAAGTGACACTTTCACAGAGCAGCAGATATGAGCAATGATGATAAATCACTGGCTCTGGCTCCCAGGGCAAGGCTGATATTAAAGCCTTGCTGTATTGATTAGTGTCTGGCACACTCAGACATTCATTACCAGAGATGGATGGATGGGATGGTTCATCACAGCTCCTTTGCACAAATCTGCCTTCAAAACCTTCCCTGCTTTACCTGGAGCCTTAATAAAGTAAAAGAGTTTACAAATGAGAGTATTCAAACACCAGTCAGCCTCTTTAGGAAAAGAATAAACACTCTTTAGTGTTAATAGTAACGAGGAGTGATGCTGCTGCTGCTGAAGGATTAGGATTTTTGGGTGGCAAGTTTTACTGGATGAAAAAAGAATCCTCCCCACCTCCTCCAACCACTTAAACCTGAACTTTACCAAGCCAAAACTTTCCTTTTAACCAACCCCAGCTCTCCATAATGAAGATGTTTGTAACCTCCCCCCCAGCCCAGCCCTGTCCACCTGACAAACAGAGCACACTGAAACATGTGTGACCGATTCCCTGACCCCTCCACAATGCTGCTCTTTGTGAGCCTCTAATATCCTTATCAGGTCTGTCTAGACACCCTGACAGCAATTGTCCTTCCTAATGTCAAAATGCACTCTGACCCCTCTCCTCCTCCTCCTCCTCCTCCTCCTCAGCCAGAAGCATTTTTGGGGGGGGATGAAGGAGCCCAGCAGCTTCCCAGTGCACAGGTCACACCTGTGTCCACACCTAAGTCACAGCAGGGAGGGCAAAAAAATGTGCTGAGAAAAGCTCATGTTAGTGGTTTCTTCTCTTTTCTTTTCTTTAGTGATTTCTTCTCTCATTTTAGCGATTCCTTCTCTCATTTTAGCGGTTCCTTCATGGAAGTCTCTCCCCAGCAAAAGTTAAAAAAAAAAAAATAAAAATCCTGAACTGAAACACTAAAATGATGAAAACTCAAAGCAGAAAAAAAAAAACCAAATTAACACGGAGTGTTTTTGCTGCAGAAAGGAGTTTTTTTCTTCCTGCTGATTTTATAGGAAAGCTCTCCCCCGTGAGTAAAAACCCAAACATTTAATCGGGTTTTTTTTTTTTTTTTTGAGTGGGATTTTGAAACTTTTCATTTCAGCAACGTTATTAGATTGCTGCTGCCACTATTTAAGGTACCCATGTGTAAAAATCAGTCAGCTTGCAAAACCAGACAGAAATTCACTGCACTTCCAGGGAAAACTCACACCGTGTCCATATTCTGTGGGAGAAGCCAAATAAAACCAAGGGGGTGG